GTGAGACTACATCAAACTAAAAACCTTCTGTACAGCAAAGGACACCATCAGCAGAAAAAAAAGGCATCCTACAGAATGGGAGAATATATTTGTAAATGACATAACCAACAAGGGGTTAACATCCAAAATATATAAAGAACTCTCATGCCTCAACAACGAAGAAGCAAATAACCTGATTAAAAAATGGTTGGAGGATATGAACAGATAATTATCCAAAGAAGAAATTCATATGGCCAACACCCACATGGAAAGATGCTCCACATCACTAATTATCAGGGAAATGCAAATAAAAACTACAGTGAGATATCACCTCACACCAGTTAGGATGGCCTCTATCAAAAAGACTGAGAACAACAAATGCTGGTGAGGATGTGGAGAAAGGCGAACCCTCCTACACTGCTGGTGGGAATGTTAAGCTAATTCAACCATTGTGGAAAGCACTATGGAAGTTCCTCAAAAAACTAAAAATAGAAATACCATTTGACCCAGGAATTCCACTCCTAGGAATTTACCAAAAGAATATAATTTCTCAGATTCAAAAAGACAGATGCACCCCTATGTTTATCACAGCACTATTTACAATAGCCAAGAAATGGAAGCAACCTAAGTGTCCATTAGTAGATAAATGGATAAAGAAGATGTGGTACATATACACAATGGAATATTATTCAGCCATAAGAAGAAAACAAATCCTACCATTTGCAACAACATGGATGGAGCTGGAGGATATTATGCTCAGTGAAATAAGCCAGGTGGAGAAAGACAAGTACCAAATGATTTCCCTAATTTGTGGAATATAGCAAAGAAGCAAAATTGAAGGAACAAAACAGCAACAGACTCACAGACATCAAGAAGGGACTAGTGGTTACCAAAAGGGAGGGTTGGGGGAGGGCAAGTGAGGAGGGAGGGAGAAGGGGATTCAGGGGTATTATTTTTGGCACATTATGGTGTTGGGGGGACATTGGGGAAGACAGGGTTGCACAGAGTAGGCAAACAGTGACTCTGTGGCATCTTACTATAATGATAGGCAGTGACTGCAGTAGGGTATGGGGGGGAAACAATAACATGGGTGAATGTAGTACCCACATTGTTTTTCATGTGAAACCTTCATAAGGGTGTATATCAATAATATGTTAAAAAAAGATTAAGATGCTATTTAAAAAAGAATGAAGGAGTCTGAATTTCAGCATTTAAATAAGATAGAAATATATGTCTCATAAAATAATTCAGGCATTCGTGGCTCACTGTTGGCAGAGCGCTGTCATTCTTAACATGTGGCTTCTGTCTCTGGCCGTTCAACCTTTGCCAGCACACAGTGATCCAAAAGAGGGAAATATGCAATACTATTTGCTCTGTCCTCTGATGGACAAAAACCAGGAGTACCAAATATAGCACCTGTTTAAATTCCATTATCTACAACTTAGACATATGTTCACACTTCTCAGTAAGGGAAGCTGAGAAAGGCAGTTTTAATTGTATAGATATGTGACCAGTTGAAATTCTCCAATGGACAGAGGTTAAGAACAGAGAGTGGGTAACAAGTCATAGTCTGGCATGCTACTGTGTTATTCAGAAACAAACCTAAATAGTTATAGCAGAAAGGAAAGATTTTAATACAGAGAATTAACTTTGAAAAACAATGAAAAGAAAAGCCTGTGTGTGGGCTCTAGACTGGAACAGAACACTTCAGAACTGACACACCCAGGGATCGAGGCCACCAGTGGATATAGTGAGTACAGACCTTCCACTTTAAAGGCAACTTCATAACTAGGAAGTTGAGAATTAGCTGACCCCAATATTTTGCCACAGCTACCTCAACACCAACTAAGGTAAAGAATGGACCCTGGAATATTGCTTTAGAAGCCAGGATCTTGCTTGCCAGTAGAAAAAGGAAGCACAAAGCAACACAAATTTTCCTTGCTTCCACCTTCTAAAATTGGTGCAAATACATCTCACTGGTAGAACCAAATTCTCATCCAGACTCCAGCTTGCAAGGCATGTGGGAAGTCTCACTTTAAACTGTTCAAAATCCACAGTCAGGTACATGAGGAAGAAGTTCAGAATGGTGTTTAATGAACCAATTCACAGCCTTCACCAGTTCTTCTAATGACCAATGAGCACCCTGGCAAAGCAGGTATTGTTAAAGTACTATTTTATTCCAACTGAATGCGCTTTAATGAACCTTTCATCTGTGTTTATTCTTTAGTAATTGAATAATCCTTTAAAATAAAATGATTGGGTTAATTTCACAAAGAATGTTATGAAACCCAGTTTGTATAAGGCTTGGAAATATCAATATCAATTTCTTGCTCCTTTATTCTAGACTTTAAATAAATAGCATTTTTGAAGGTCTGAAAGTTCTATAAAGATTTCATACTTTATTGATTCACATATTCCCTCCTCCCTCACTAAAGTGAATGAAAGAACAAGAGATTTATTTTTAATATAGCAACAACACAGCTGGCTTAACTTCAAAATAACATGAGCAAGACATTTTCCTTTCTTGGTCAGTTTCCTAATATTTGAAATAAGGATATACAAATAACTGTATCATCTCAGCAACTGCCTTCACTGGTTTTTCAACAATATGCTATATTCAGATCACTCTACGAAGCAACAGGGCTAGGAGAGAAAAGTTGTCCTTTGAACCTCCATGACAGCAGGGACCTGTCTGGCTTGTTAGTCACACTATCCCAGCACCGAGCAGCTGCTAAGCACTCAGTAGATACTGTATAAGAATTCTTGACTTAATAAGTGAGGTTCTACTTTTAAAAGGGCTTATGCAAAGAACATTAGTAAGGGAATGAGAGGTAGGGAAAATGCTGAGAACACATGAAATATGTATGGAGCCAGTCTCAAGGTTCTTTGTATTCAATTTTAAAGGTGACTTAAATTCTACCCTACTGGCAAGGTCAGACTGGAAGAATCTTTCCCAGGTTTGAGGCAAGACTACAGGCTGACTAGCACAGAACTTATCTTGGAATGTGTGTTCTAAAATTTTGAACAAAGAAATTATGCTTACCTTAGAGAAGGGGAAAATAAAATTGGTAGATTTTATGTACTTGGACATTGATTTGTTAAGGCAATGAACAGGAAAGTTTTAGGAGTCTATCCACCAAGACATTAAAGTTCTTGTTTCTAACACTTTTTAACTTTGCATTTTATTAAAAGCATAAACAAAATAACCTAAAGTAATATTAACACAACACATGGGAAATTCAATAAACTGACACTGTAAAGATTGCCTTTTCTCCCTAAAAGACTTGCAATTTCAGTGTTGAAGCTTGATCATTTTCTCTTAAATGCGTTGCCTGAAAAATGAGTAGAAGTAGACCACTATATTGGAGGCAAGACTTTATGCGTTTTAAGTAGTAGGCATAGAACAAAGCCATGAAAAAGAAAATCAAAGAAATTCTATACTTGTACAACTGATTTTATTTTTAATTATAAGTTCTACTAAAGTAAGCACACTCGTTAAATAAGGAACTAGATAGCATTGAAGGGCATATTTTCGAAGGAAACAAAGTGCAAGGTACATTTTGGTACCCTTTCTTGTTATTAAATAATGACTATCAAACTGTATTAACCCTAATCTTTCAGCTTTTCAAGATTACATTGTGCCTTTTCAAACTAGTCCAGCTTTCATAGCTTCTCCTCAAAATGTACACGAGTCTACTTTAATATACAACAAATGACTTGTAGGTACAAAAATTTCTGATTTTTCAAGGAACTATTTTCTTAAAAATTAGTGGCTCATTTTAGAAATTAAAGTGATAGTAAATGCTTATTAGTATAAATGTATTGAGAAAAAAAATCACTACATGTCAAGCTATTTTTAAACCCCTGTCCCTTTACAAAGTCCCCAAGTGAAGAATTCAATCTAGGTTATGATTAAAGTTTAAAGGTTCATTCATCGTCCTGGAGCACCACCACCATTTCTAGGCTAAGCTGTCACTTTTAACCTCTCACACCTTTGTTGCTCTATAAGGAAAGGAGTATGAGACAATGCAATTCTAAACCTTTCATAGTATAAATATCTTTTCATCAACAGCACTAAAAGTGAATGTAGTTCAATTTTCTGTTCCCTGTCCTCCCATCCAAGAAATCAATCTTAGAAACAAACAATAACAACAACAAAAACTCCACAGATAACAAAATTCAAAGGAAGGAAATGAGGGGAAAGAATGAGGATCCTTGTTATGCATTTTAGTAACAAAAGGGTGACACAACATATTTTGGTTCCTACAACTTTCCCTAAAAAAGCAAGCATGTGTCTGGCTGAACCTGGTACCTGGATCCAATTAGATAATTTTTTTGTGTGTTGCTACAAAAACTCAACACATTGCTCATTTCCAACAGTGATACACCTAAACAACACACCTATCCACGTCTACTTTATTGCTAGCTTTGTAAATACTCCTTTTCATTTCTTCTTTCAAGTATGATTAGATAATAAAAATTATCTTTAAATTGGAAATTACTGTGCGTCCTAAGGTTGAGCAAACAAAATTGACTAAAATAACACATTAAATCCCAATTAAACAAGGAAAATCACTCATTAGTCAAATGCACAGAATGGCTAGAGTAACATTTTTAAGAACTTGCTTCTCCCACTGAGAATGACAACCGCTGGTTCCCGTGTCCCATCCACTCCCACGTTCCAGTGCATGATGGCAGGAGCACAAGTACTTTGAGGAGAAACATACTCAACTATTTTTTTTTTCAAAAATATATTTTTGTTTATATATTGCTGTTCACTATCTTTTGGCACAGATACTGTTTGGCACAGAGAGCCTAATTTATTGTTATGTTTGGGGCATAAATCCTGTATTCATTCTGTAAACTCCTTTTTTCCATATAACCCTCTGGGGTTTTGATGAAAAATAGATTCCTAAACATGCCAAACCTGTCAAACAGGAATAAATGCTTCCAGTGGAAGCATAATGTTCCCTTGAAATAGAAATGTTTGAGCTTGTAGGAGCTCATTTCACTCTGGAAAAAAATGAGATCATGTTTCAATTCAGGAAGATGTATGCTTCAGGTAAGAGACTGAGACAGTAAACCTCCTGTACTTAGCCAAATACACAGAATATTTGAATTCAAATGTACCGTTGAGGCAGAGTGGCTCTTTACTTAGATTGTGAAACTTAAACGGTAGATGAATTTAAAATCTGAATAAGTTTGTACATATTCTCCAGAAAATGGATATTTCCGGAAGAACTGATTAAGCCTTAATTATCCCTTCTCTCCCTCCCTCCCTTCCTCTCTCTCTCCTTTTCGCACTTTCCTTCTCTCCCTCTCGCTCTCTCTCCCTCCTTCCCTCCCTCTCTCTGGCTGACCCCATGGATTGCACTGATACCATGCCCTTTATATCACCTCCTGACCGCTCACTTTCATGTCCGTCAGAGCCTGGAGCAATTCCAGGCATGTCTGCTCGTACGTTTTCCTTTGTACACATTTTCTTCAACTCTTGAAGCTAGTGCTGGTAAGACTGCAGACCACATGCCAGTGATGACTCCAAAACAAAGTCTTAC